CCCCCCCCCCCCCCCCCTAAAAACACGTCACTTTGAATTTATCCGAGGAACAGCAGAGGTGGCAGCCCGACAAAGAGCAAGAACTCACGTTGCTCTTGGGTCAAGGCCAAAGGGGAGACTGTCGAACTCATGGCTGTGGTTTTTGCGGTACTTAAGAAATCTTTATTATATTAGTACCAGAGCCCGATGCACACCATTTCTTGTACTTTTCGATGCACGACGACGACTGCTCTGCTACTGCTACTGCGGCTGCTCTACCATGTCAACTGATCAAAGTTTAGTGATGCAAAGGTTGTGCAGGACTTGGGGCTCTGAGGCCTATATGTCTGGGGTCCCACAAAAAGAGATCTAAGCTGGAGTTTCGGTAATATTGGATTTAGATTGTATCCCCTTGTCTGTGCAAAACAGCCTCGCGAGCTCCACGAACTCATGCTTCACAGCGAGCAGACACGGGAAGTAATACATGCATCCATGCGTGTGAACACCATCGATTTCGCAGTCTCATCGGCCAGCGTTCTGCGAATCCGGCTTCGAACTTACCGCGGGCGAGAGCATATGCAATGTGATGTAAGCACTTCAACCAACTAACGTGGCCCCGGCTATTCGTTGCCTCTTTAAAATCAAAACCCGCCACCTTAATCCATCTCACTGCTTCCTGGAAGGCGGCGTCCAGATGCCGAGGGGGCTGGCCTGGCAATGGAGGGTTTCGGGTTTAGAGTTCCGGGTTTATACTTATGTTAACTGAGTTTTAAGTTTAAGGGTATGGTATAGGCTGATAGGTCCTTTTTTTCTTCAGGCGTTCGGGTTCAAGGTATTGGGGGTTTGGCAGGATTTGAGAGCTTGTGAAACCGTCTTTATAATTTTGGGATGTGTTGGCCTTTGTCTTTCATTTAAGATATAGTCTTAGATCCTTTGCACACGGAGGTCCTAGTATCGCGTGGAAACCAATACCCTAACTTATCTTACTATAGAAAGACCATCAATTCTAGACCCAAAAGACTACCCCTGTAGAACCGATGAACAGAAGGCCTCGATGTTGAAGATCGAAGCCGCCCATGAAGCTCATCGCCTTGTAGGGCTGGTTTAGGAGGTGACCAAGGCAACTTAGACTATACTTTGTTCGGTTAATATATAA